ACTAATGTTGTGGCCCCACCCCATAACAAAGAAACAGAATTTCCAGAGGACGAGGCCTAGAAATCAGGATTTTAAAAAGATTCCCAGGTGATTCTAATGTGCAGCATGGTTGAGAACCACTGCTCTAAGGCGTCAGCAGGCAGGGCGGGGCTGGCCTGGCGTGGTGCAGGTTGGGTAATGTGGTTGACCCTGAGATTCTTAGAACCTGGGTATTTGCTTTCAGTTTTCCAGAGACCCAGAAGGTGTTTGTGCAGACACAGCTGCCCAGTGAATGTGCACAGCTAAGAACAAGTGGGTTTTGGTCCAAATCAGCCAGAGGGAGATTCTAGGTAAGTTGGGAGGGTAGAAGCCCCTCCCCCTTCTTGTCATCCTCACACTTTCTAAAACAAGGATTATTGTCACTATTGTATAGATGAGAGAAACCTAAGCTGGGGGAGGGGGGTGGGGAGTGGTAATGTGCCTAAGGGCACATGCAGCAGTGGCAGAGCCCAGATTGGAACCCAATTTGTCTGACGTTCCTCCCCACCCCAGTGCCCCTAAACAGTGGAGAGGGAGGGGGACACTGCTTGGTGGGTTCACATCCTCCCTCCAGCTCAGCTAGACCTGGACTCCCTGAGACAGGAGCCAGTGACCCCAAAGGAAAGGGGGATGTGGGGGGAAGAGGGGGGATGTGGAGGATGCAGAGTAGGTGGGTGACGGTAGGTGAGTAAGAGCGTCTGTTCCTTGCTGCCTGGCTGCCCTGAGGCTGCCTTCGGAGGCTGCTGCTGAGGCTGATGGGGGCAAAGGATTTCCTTTGAGATTTCAAATCGTGACCTTGTTTCACACACCCTTTCAGCTTAGTGCCGGGCCTTGTGGGAAACTGAGGCCCTCAGAGGGGAATGACTTGCCCAGGAGCCACATTGAGACCCTGAGCAGGAGGTGGGTGGGCTCTGCCTCCCTGCTCTTGGCCGGCCTCGCTCATAACCGTGGGGAGATGGGCGACATAAGAGGTGGTCCTGTGTGTCTGAGCTGGAGGAGACTGAGCCCAGATCCCTGTGTCTGTACAGCAGAGACACACCTGGGAGCTGTTGCCTTATTCACACCACATCCCTCCTTAGCCTCCAGCACCAGGAGGTGTGGGCTCTACTCTGCCCCCAGGAGCTGCCTGACGCTGGGCAAGTCCCTTCCCTGAGAATGATTTCTTTTTTTTCTTTTTTCTTTCCATTGGTTTTTAGAGAGAGTGGAAGGGAGGGAGGGAGGAAGAGGGAGAGTGAGACAAACATTGATGTGAGAGATGCATCAGTTGTTATCTCCCACATGTGCCCTGTGCCCTGACCTGGTTTGGGGATGTATCCTGCAAACCAGGTCCGCGCCCTTGACCAAGAATCAAACCCTCCACCCTTCAGTGCACAAGCTGATGCCACACCCACTGGGCCACACCAGCCAGAGCTGTGCTAGCTTTTTGTTTCTTCTTCCTCCTCCCTTTCGTCTGCACCTGTGTCTCCTTCCTAATGCAGGACAGATGTAATGGTACCTACAGCCTTCAAGGAGCCTCCGGTGCAGGAAGCAAAGTGCCTGGCAGCAGGTAGTGAGCAGGAGTGGGAGGGGCTGAATGGAGCTGGGCCTGAGTCTCATAGCTGGGCAGGCCCAGCTCGGGGAGAGGGGCTTTGGGATGTGCTGCACAAGGCCAGGCGTCAGAATCACTTTTTCATCCTTCTCTTCCTCTTTCTCCTCATATAAAAATGTAATGGCTGCAGGAAGGAAACAGAAGGAAATAAATGGGACGGATTCTCAGAAAGCTGATAGAACTGCCAGAAGTACATTAAATCAGTGGGGGAAATTTGTGTGAAATCTGAGTCATAGTTTTTTCATCAAGATCAACAAGAAAACCAAATGGAGTGACTCAGTTGAGATTGAAAAAGGGTTTGCTGTGTGGTTGAGTGGCTGATTGTTCTGTGTCCCTGCCATGGCACACACCCCAGGCTTGAGCCATCAGTGCCAAGAGCCCAGAGGGTCCCCGGGACAGGAGGGGCAGCACAAAATAGACCTGGCCCTGTGTTTACAGATACAAATGGTACACAGTTCAGTGGTTATTGGAAGAATGTGAGTCATTATTTATAAAGTCTTAGAGCATTCCTGGGCAGAGCAAAGACACACAGGTGAGCCACCTTAGTATCAGCTATTAGTATACCGACAAGTCCCTTGGCTCTCTGTTTCAGGCAGGTCTCAGGAGGGGTAGTTGATAAATGCTGTTTTTGCTTCTAACAATAAAGCTACAGACAATCAGCATTTCCTTTCTTCCCTGGGCTCCAAGGTAAGATAGTCCAGACAGAACTGAGAGAATCCTCTCCATGGGAAGGTCTGTTTCCCTCATGATTGTTCACAGAACAGAAATGATCCAGAGTGTTTTCATTATTATTGATTTGAGATGGAGAGAGACAGAGAGGAACATCTATTGCTCCAGCCAGGGCCAGAGTGTTTTCACAATGGCGGCCGTAAGACGTCACTGCCTTCCCTTTGCCTGCCCGTCCCATTTTGGAAAAATTTGGCCTCAACACAGAGCCCATGATTACAGTATGGCCCCATCCCAATGGTCACCGACACAAGGTGGACATTGACACTTCCTAGAAAAGGGCCCTCCAAGCGCTGTGAGACCACACTATCCAACCAAAGGTTGGCCATCCGTGCATCCTTCAAATTGACGTGTGATCAAAAGGGGGACCGTGGATGAAAAATGGGTTCTATGCAAAGTAACCTCACAGGGTGATGCGATCATAAATTCCTACCTAGGCAGGTCATGGTGGGGGTCACATCCCAGGCATATACATTTTAGTACAAGGTTTGTTTTCCTTAAGCATGCCCTGCTCATTGTTTCTGTGCATCTAGGTGAACTCACCTTTGAAATAACCACTCTCAAGAGAGCACAATCTGGCCTGGCCGGTGTGGCTCAGTGGTTGAGTGTTGGCCCATGAATGAAAAGGTCACCAGTTCGATTCCTCGTCAGGGCAAATGCTCGGGTTGTGGGCTCAAAACCCAGCAGAAGGCATGTAGGGGCAGCCACTGGATGCTTCTATCTCATTAGTGTTTCTATCTCTCTCTTCCATTCCCTTCCTCTCTGTAAAGAAAATATAAATATTTCTGGGTGTTATTTTTTTAAAGAAGAGACCACACTCTTGTTGACTGTCCTGTAATACAATCCCCACCTGCTTTCTCCCAACTTCATATAACCTTCCTTACATCCCCTCCTTCATTTCAAATGCAGAGAAGCTGAGACACTGTTATTCTCCAGAGCATTTTAGATCTCATGCAGTTTGGCTCAAATAAACTTTCCCAAAAATCCTTTTTAAAAAATTACAGCCTTAAAAAGGAAGCGCTCTGGCCCATGTTCTTACCTGCATGACATTTGAGGACACTATGCTAAGTGAAATAAAGCCGTCTCAGGAAGATAAACATTGTGTGATTCCACTTAAATGAAGCACTGGAATCTGTAGAGATGGGAAGTAGAAAGGCAGTTTCCAGGGGCTGGGAGGGGGGGTGGGGAGTTATTGTTTAGTGGGTACACAGTTTCTGTTTTATAAGATGAAGAGAGTTCTGGAGACTGGATGCACAACAGTGAAAATATAATTTAACACTATTGAACTGTACCCTTAAAAATGGTTAAGGTGGTAAGTTATATGTTGTGCATGTTTTAGCATAATAAAAAGAATTTTAAAAAGAAAGATGTGTGTGTGTGTGTGTGTGTGTGTGTTTGAAAAATACTATGAACTGGGAGATGGAAAAGATGGACACCCTCATATCCTGTGAGCATAAATGTAAATTGGTGCAATTTGTTTGCATTAGAGTGTGGCTTTAGGCATAAAGGAATTTTTATATGGTGATACCCTCTGTCACAGTCATTCTATTTATTAAATAATTTTAGGGAAGCAATCTCAAATGCAGATGAACTTTATGCCTGAAGGATGTTTCTGCACTATTTTCACAAAGAACTGGAAACAAGATAACATCTACCAGTGGGCATGGGAAGCAGAGAGGACCAGGAAGCGTCAGGAGGGCTGGGCAGCCCACAGCAGGGCTGCAGGGCTGGGGCCAGGACTGCAGAAACCCAGGGCCTTAGGGGATGAGGGTCTAGTAGAAGCAAGAAGGGTGCAGGCTTGGGAAGCTACAGCCCCAGGAATTGATCAACACAGATACTTGGCATAGGGTGCAAGACATCGTTTGGGAATGAGAAGAGTCATTTGCAAGTAACACAGACACATGAATAAACATTTTTGTATATAAAAGAGAGTCCAGCGTAGTCCTCACAAACATGGGATTGGGACCAGGAAGACTTGGGCTGGAGTCCTAGCTCTAGCACTACTGTGAGACTTGGGCTAACCCGAGTTTAGGTGAAAACCTAGAGCTTGTGATGGTTTCCTCCACGTCCCAATGGGAGCCACAATGGTGCCCACCACGTGAAATGTGTGAGAGTATTTGATGAGGGAACTCGTAAGGAGCCTTTGGTAGACACACCATCAATATTAGCTGTACTGATTAGTAAACACAATGTCCCCAACTTCAAGCCATTTCCAAAACATTCCTTCTCATCTTTCCTTCCCATCTTTCGTGTTTTATTGCTTCCTGGTTTTATTCCCTCTTTGGTTTTATGACTCCTCAGCTGTGTGTTTCCTTGTCTGAGGATCTTCTCGTTGTGCCACCACAGGATAATGGGATTGTCACTTGGCTTAGAGTGGGCTGGAGTGAGGTGAGTACCTTCTCTTAAATAGTACCCAGCAGATGCTGGCAGACAGGAAACTACAGTGGATTGAGTCCATCTTGGCACTTGCGGCCTTCCCTGAAAGAAACACCAGAAACAGAGCTCCTCGCTGCTCCCTGTTGCTCATCTGGCTCACCTCTGACCCCACAATTTGTTTTCTCTTCCCCAAGGGTGAAGCAACACCTCCTTCCAGCTGGACACAGACTGGTGAGCTGAAGGGGAAACTCTGAGATCCCACTGCTGACACCATGACCTCAGAAGCTGACAGGATCTGCCCAGGTAGTCAGCTTCCTCCTCTCTAGCTGGTTCCTGCTCATGATCTAGAATTGAGGGAGGTGCCTCCAGGATGGTTTAAGCAACACAGGAATCAAGAACCTGAAAGGAAATTAATGAGTGTCCCTGAGCCTCCAAGAGGGACCAAGGGGAGTTCCCTTAACCAGAAGTCTATTTGAGGACCTCCTTCCTAGCTCTCTCCTCAGGCTCCTCACTGCCTCCCATCTTCTGCAACTCATGCAATGACTCCAACAAGGCCAGGACAGCCCATGGGAGGTGGGAATTTCTTGTTCACTGTACCTGGAACCTGCTAGCTCCTGTAGAAACCTTCCCCTCCAAAGAACTGCCACCTCCCACAGCTGTGCTGGGTCTCTGACTTGTGCTCCCAATTATAAACACCTTCGTATCAGGTGTGACTCTCAGGCATGAACTTCTTCTGATGATATCAAATACCGCTGCAGAGGTCCGCTTTGTCATTTCCCACACCCACCCACATCCTAGCCAACAAATACACAAATGTAGTGCTCTGGGTTTCTCCATCTCAACCCAGGTTTACTTTCTCCCTCAGGGGGTGTAGCAAGAAAAGGAAAAAATACCCCTCCAACCACCCAAATCAACACTGCGTTGCCTAGGCAACCAAATCCCCCCCCCCCCCAGGAGAGGATAAAACTTGTTCCTGTTGCAGCATAAGGGAGGAGAGGACAGATCAGAAGCCTGAAGCTCCTGAGCAGACTCTCAGGTCCATTCCTAAGGATAAACAAGATGATCTCTTGTTTAAGGAGTTGGTGAGGGTGGGGTCAGAGGTGTTTACTAGGAGCTGTGGCCCCCGAGACCAGCCTGGAGTGGGGAGAGCTGATACTGATTGATCACAGGATTAGAGCTGAGGCTCCAACCCCCACCCACCTGAAGACACCCCTCCACTGCCACCTTGGAGCACCTGTGAGAAGCAGGAAGAATCCTCTTTGCCTGGTAGTTTTACTCATCAGTGGTGTGTGGTCTGAAACATTATTTTCAAATTTATAAAAATCCCATAGGTAACCTATAGGGTAGAATTCAGAAATCACATGAACTTTTGAAACATAAGGAGGCTTCAACCTACTGTAAGGAAATGTCTGATGGTTGGTCTTGGATTGCATCTTTGAGCTTTCTGCTTCTTGGCTTGGGCCTTCTTTTCCTGTCTGAGTTTCGCTTTCTTCTTTCTTGAAATAAGAATAATTTCCTTTGTGTGTATATGGCAGGAAACACATTTACATTCTGTCTCTGCACACACAAAACATACACCAGTCCCCAGTCCCTTATCTGCATTTCCAGGGTCTCCAAATCCCTGAGAGTCACACATTTTTTAAAAGATTTATAAAAGTTATTGATTTATACACAGAGAGAGAGAGAGAAATAGAAACAAGTAGGGGAGGGAGAGAACTAGTGTCTCTCCCTCATCTCATAAGGACACCATTCATATTGGATTAGGTCTCACACTTATGACCTCATTTAACCTTATAAAATACAGTCACATGGGGGCTGGCCATTGTTGCTCAGTGATTGACAGTTGACCCATGAACCAAGAGGTCACTGGTTCAATTCCCATTCAGGGCACATGCCTGGGTTTCGAGTTTGATCTCCAGTAGTAGGCTAGCAGGAGGCAACTGATTTATGCTTGTTTCATATTAATGATTCCACCTCTATACTTCACCCTTCCTCTCTATATAAAAAGCAATAAAAACATTAAAAATAAATGAAAAAGTACAGTCACATGGGGTGTCAGGCCTGCAATATATAAATATGGGGGGACAGTTCTGTCCATAACACCAGGTGACTCAACAAAAGTTCCCCAGATTTTTTTAAAAAGTCCCCCAGGTGACAGCTGCTCAGGAAGATGAACATTTAACCACCTTGTTTATACTCAATTCCATTTCCATTCTACCACAATTTGTTCTAACCTTATTCTTTTTTCTTTCCATCTAGAGGGCAAAGACTTTGTTGAAGTCATTGAATATTTAATGGACCCAAGGAACAAAGAGAAATTGCAACACCTGCTAAGTGATGAAGCCTGGAAGAGATTTGTGGCTGCAGCCAAGTTGTCTAGGTAACCTCCAGGGGATGCCTGTATTGTCACCCCATCTTCCCCTGGATCTAGATTCCTCTGGCAGGCACACTCCTCCAGGCAGGGTCCTGAGCTTGGGGTTGAAGAAGTTCTTTCTCAACAGTCCTTGAGGAACATTTCCTTCATATCATTCGTTGGCAGACAAAGGCCTCAGATTAAGAGGAGATGAGGCCTGCCGGGCAAGGTTACGTGACCGTGGGCTTGTTACTTAACCACTCTCTGTCTTATTCATCATTTCTATTTCATTGTGAGGAAAATAGGATAATTCGTGTAAACTGTTTAGCCTAATGACTGACACATAGTAGGTGGGCAGTTGACATGAGCTTTTAAAAAGATGCGGGGAAAACACAGGGCCCAAGCGTCTTCTTGTTGGATATGAGAACCACGTAGGACTTCCTGTGGGACAAGCCAGAAAATTCCTGGTACAGTGTGTGTCCCTGGGGATTTTGGCTAGAGAGCCTGCTCTCCCTAATGAAGGGATTGTACAGACTCTTCAGGGTCCTGATGGCCTGGAAGGCAGAGAGCTGAAGTGAAGCTGGACCGTGTTGGGTTGAAAACTAACTGTATCTCCACCCAACTCTAGGGCTGTGGGCTTATGTCATCTACCTCTTCAATGGAATGGCAAGTCTGTCTGATACAACTATGGTGAAGGCCTTGGGGTGAACTGCATGATCAAGGGTGAAAAAGCAAGTGCAGTCATCTTGTCCAGAGGCCCAGAGAGGCCTGAAGCAGGGTCAGAGCCCGGAGTTGGATGGAGCCAGGGTGGTCCTGGTGGGAGGACTGGTAGGAAGGCTTGGCTGGGACTAGAGTGAGGCAGTTGAGGCACGTGGGTATAAGACTAAGGAGGCCAAGGGCCTAATAATGGAGGGCCGAGCAGGGGCAGGGGGCACATTTCTTCCTTCCCTGATTTGATCCCCTCTTTGCTGGGGGTAGAGGACCCTGGGTGAATATGTCCTCCACACCCTGACTGTGGGCTAGAGGGCTCCTGACCTCCTTGTGAGACCCTCTTCTATTCTCCCTGGAGTAACCCTGACCAGAGGGAAGGCAGTGTGGCTTGGTGACCGCTTCCAGTCAGAATGGGTGGCTGCCAATGTGGTGTAATCTCAGAGACTCTGAGTAGATGCACATGTTCCCACCATAGAGAATAGGGCTTCTTGCACCAGCTCATCCAATCAGTGGTTTCAGCTTTAGCAATTCATACACCTGCCTTCGTTAATCACCTGTCATTCATTACTACAGGGATGAGGCAGATGCACTCTATGCAGACTTGAGCCAGCTGAAAACACTCATGGCCGTGGAGGACAAAGACATGTCCTCAGCAGACCAGCTGCATGTGGATACCTTTATGAAGGCGTTTCCTCAGGTGAAACAGGACCTTGAGGAATGCATAGGAAAGCTCTACGCACTTGCAGGTGAGGTTGACAAGGTACACAAGGACTGCACCATCACCCAAGTGGCGGCCTCTTCCACGGGCATTGTGTCTGGCATTCTGACCATCGTTGGCCTGTCTCTGGCACCTGTGACAGCAGGAGCTAGTCTGGTGCTTTGGGCAACTGGGGTGGGACTGGGGGCAGCAGCTTCTGTGACCAGTGTGACCGCCGGCATAGTGGACTTCACAAAGAAAAGGTCAGCAAAAGCCAAAGCCAGCCGCCTAGTGTCAACTGGCAATGACACAGGGAACTTGGTCATGGAGGATCTACATCACAACACATTCAAAATTGGGCTCCTTTTAAAAAAGTGCAGCCAATCCCTGGTAGATATTTTGGAGAATTGCCAGGCCTTCAAGCTGGCCAAATCCAATCCTCTCTTTGCAGCTGAGGCTACAAGTGTCATTCGCACTGGGGCAATCTCAGGCCAAAGCAGCAAGCAGCTACAGAAAGCTTTTGCTGGCACTGCTCTGACAATGAGCAAAGGAGCCAGAATCGCTGGTATAGCCACTGCAGGTTTTTTCCTTCTCGTGGATGTAATCCAGCTAGTGAAAGAGTCAAAGCACTTACATGAGGGCGCAAAGGCTCCGTCGGCTGAAGAGTTGAGGAAGCAGGCCCAGGAGCTGGAGAGCATGTTGAAAGAAATCACCTGCATTCACAAAAGTCTACAGGAGGAACTGACTCTGTTTTCCCAGATGTAGGGAGTGGCTATAGGGTTAAGCCTCGGACCGACCTGTAGCAGAGCCACAAACAAGTCCCAGCAAGGAGGGCAGAGCACTCCTAGAATAATTACGCTTAACCTTATAGACCTCCCTAGTTCCTTCCTAGGTAGCTGATGGGTTGTGGGAGGTGCAACAAGTGCTACCAAAACAAGGTGAAACTCACAAGAACATTGTAAACATGTTGACCACTTCCCTTGTTTTGCTTTGTGTGCTCTGACTATAAACCAAAGCTTGTGCTTGCAGGCTGGGTAACTATTTCCTGATCTAGGCACAGTGATCCGACCCAGCCCCAGCTGTATTCTCTTGTCTGTCTTCTTTAACCCTTCACCACCGTCCTCAGGCTCATGGAACCTGGCCGCACATGAGGCGCCCAACATGGGGCCTGAGTATGGGGAACTACAATTGTAAGGTGAAAGATGCTCCCATGAGGCATGTTCAGAAAGCAAAAGTAAGGTATGGAGCGAGGTTTGGTAAGCAGCTGGGTGTACAACATGGGAAATTCAGGATCTTAGGAAAGGGATCTCTAAAACAATGTTCAATTAAGCATTTTTAAATTTCTTACATTTTGTTAGGAACTGTAAAGCAAAGGATGGAAGTCCTGGTCCGTGGGATGCTTAGAGCCAGGCTAGGCTATTTTGTTAAGGAGTGTTGTCTAAGGACTGTCTGATGTAGTCTGTTGTTGATGACCTCAATCCAAATCTGAAGACTATAAAGAAAAATCAGACCCTCCAGGAGGAAATCCAACAGCTTCAGCCTCACATCAACGACATCTTTGCATTAACACCATCTTCGCACCAACGACATCGTTGCATTGACAGAATCGTTGAGAGAAGCCAGAGCATTGTCACCGACTGCAGCAGCCTGAATTTTGAGACCATTCCGCAGAGGCTCACCGACCTGCGGCAGCTGTCGGGCCTCCTCATCGAGGAGATGGAGAAGCGGCACCAGCGATAGGAGGAGGTACAGGGGAACCAGAGAAGATCCTTGTCCCTATGTTCACAGGACTGAGACTTGCCCCAATGACAACAATGCGGAAGAAGAAATGAAGGGTACGCAAGGGGCCGAGGTTCTGACTAGCGTTGGTGAGCTGCCAGGTTTCTGTAAAGTCTTGCATGGCCAAATCTGAGGACTCTGAATAGATAACTTTCATTTTGTAGCTGAAACTTTCATTTTGTAGAAATAGTAAAATGTTGTGTGTAGTTTGTTTTTTTTGCAATGGCATTGTTTTATTATTGTTTTAATAGCCGAGCCTTAAAACTTTTATGTTTATTGTAGTAGCTTAAAAACAAAAAAAGGGGAGATGTAGGAAGCAGCTATAGGGTTAATCCTCAGACTGACCTGTGGCAGAGCCACAAACAAGTCCCAGCTTGTAGGGCAGGGCACTCCTAGCATAATTATGCTTAACCTTATAGTCATCCCTAGTTCCTTCCTAGGTAGCTAATGAGCTGTGGGAGGTGCAACAAGTGCTACCAAAACAAGGGGAAACTCACAAGAACATTATAAACATGTTGACCACTTCCCTTGTTTTGCTTTGTGTGCTCTGACTATAAAATAAAGCTTCAGCTTGCAGGTTGGGTCACTGTTTCCTGATCTAGGCACAGTGATCTGACTTATCCCCCGCTGTATTCTCTTGGCTGTCTTTTTTAACCCTTCACCACTGCTCCTCAGGCTCACCGAACCTGGTTGTGCTGACGCGAAACACCCAGACAGTGCAGGGAGCAGGGGTGTGTGGGAGACAAAGGCATGAACTTATCTTATTAGAGGGTTAAAGTGGGGAAGTCAAAGTGATGGAATTTTGTGTTAAGGAGTATGGTATTTCTATAGCTGAGCAGAGCAAAGGAGGGTTTCAGGCAGATGGCAAGTGGGTCAAAGAGAAAGAAGGAACCTGGAGCCTGGAATCAGGGAATAGAGGGGACAAGAGAGTTGGGATGATTGGGGGAGCTTTATTTTGACTAAAGAAGACATTGGGGTCATGAATAAAGTAAGAGAAGTGGAGGAATAAGCACAGAAAAGGCCCTGACTACTAAAAAGTTGACAATGGAAGAAGGCGAAAAAGTTTGAGTTGTTGGGATATGGAAATTACAGTGGCTCCTGGACTGGCCCTCCCCAGGGTTCACCGTCCCAGCAGGATCCCCATCTCTCCCTGGTCCTGGTCTCTAGCCCTGCTTTCCAGTTCCAGCTCACCTTTGTCTTCCAGCAGTTCATCTTAGGTAGGCAGTGACTTTTTTTTTTTAAATTACTATATATAGTTTAATGAAAAATAGTAATGATTGTGTAATCAAATAGCTAAAAGTATAATCACAGGTGTTTTAACAATTCCCTGATTAGTACACAATCCACAGAGCAACATGCCTATATGAATAGATCAAGTACATTGGCCTTGAAACACTATGGGTGGCATAGGAGTGGTCCAAGCAATTAATTATTCAAGAGACCCAAGGATGGTCACATATACCCAAGGAAAAGAAGAGATTACAGACATTTTCTTATGTCTTACATAGAAATTTATATATGTTATTGGACAGACAGTAGTTAGTTATTCAACTTCATTAAGAAAATTAATTCTAAAAGATAATGAATTGTTTATTATTCATTTTCTATACCTGCAGAGGCACAAGCTAAAGGCATTGAAGTTCTCACTACTAGAAATAATAACCAATTAACATATGGAAATTCATGCTTTCTCTTACTTTCTCTTTCAGAACCTACCAAACCTTACATTGTCAATGCAGTAAAAATGATAGAACAAATTTTCAATTAGGGAGCTCAAGGCATAAGTCTAGAAACATACTATTAAATGTTTGGTGTTGGAGCTACATCAGGAAACAAAGATAAAAAACCTTCATGGATCTTACAATCTCAGATTTGTGTTGAAATAGGTACAATTACGGAATTTAGAGTTATGAATGAAGCTGCTCAAATACATATTCATAATAAAGTATGTTCTTAAAGAACTGCATTAGTAGCCAGGGGATTTGTATGTTCTGTTTTTGTTTTTTTGGGGGTTTTTTTTGCTGCTTATTTTTTTAATTTTGATTTTATTGTTTAAATTATTACAATTAGTAGTACATATGTCTCCTTTTTTCCCCCATTGACCTTCCACTGGCCTCCCCTACCCCCCAGCACATTCCCTCACCTCCCCGCCCCCCTCCCGGGTGTCTTGTGTCCATTGGTAATGCTTATATGCATGCATACAAGTCCTTCGGTTGATCTCTCTCTTTTTTAATTGCTTAAAATATTACAAAGAGTAGTACATATGTCTCCTTTTTATCCCCCTTGACCTTCCCCCAGCCTCCCCTACCCCCCAGCGTCTTGTGTCCATTGGTTATGCTTATATGCATGCATACAAGTCCTTTGGTTGATCTCG